TGGCTGCAGGCCCAGGAAGGACGATTCTGGCTGCCGACCCAGGCAGGACGAGACTGGCTGCAGACCGATGGTGGACGAGACTGGCTGCAGATCCAGGCAGGACGAAACTGGCTGCAGACCCAGGCAGGGGAAGACTGGCTGCAGACCGAGGGAGGACGAGATTGGCTGCAGACCCAGGCAGGACGAGACTGGCTGCAGACTCCGTGTGGGCGATTCTGGCTGCAGACCCAGGCAGGGGAAGACTGGCTGCAGACTTGGGGAGGACGATTCTGGCTGCAGACCGAGGGGGGACGAGACTGGCTGCAGACCCAAGCAGGACGAAACTGGCTGCAGACCCAGGCAGGGGAAGACTGGCTGCAGACCGAGGGAGGGCGAGACTGGCTGCAGACCCAGGCAGGACGATTCTGGCTGCAGACCCAGGCAGGACTCTCCTGGCTGCAGACCGAGGGAGGGGAAGACTGGCTGCATACCAAGGGAGGGCGAGACTGGCTGCAGACCCAGGGAGGACGAGACTGGCTACAGATCCAAGGAGCACAAGACTGGCTGCAGACCGAGGGAGGACGATTCTGGCTGCAGACTCCCCATGGTCAAGTGTGGCAGTCCACTCCCGCGGCCTCCGTCTGGGCGACAATGGAAGAATTCTCGAGGACATCGGAAGCAATCAACGAGTATATCATTATCAGTGATGTGCCTTTACTGCCAGCTTTTCAAGTCATCCAGCAATTCAAGACCTTGCCAGATTTCTTGATGTTTCCGGTTTTCCTGGCATTAAGACATCACTCTCATTCCACCTCTATATTACCAGAAAATCTTCTACCAGACAGGGAGATAGTTCATGCTATGAATACCTTTGAGAGGTTAGCAAACGAAGCACAGGAACGAAGTCGATCAGCTTCTGACGCTCTCAAGTATGCCTGTCACAATTGGAGCGTACATCTTTCGCGTGCTCCCAATCCATGGGATGACACGCTCAATCATATATTCCAGGCTTTTTGGAATGATCATATTATCCCCTGGCTGGAAATGGAGTGGTGTTTGAAAGGTCTGCGGTCTTGCCTTGCCATCTTATCTGAAGGGCAGGAAATTGTGAAGGTGTGTATTTCAACGATTCAAGGTAGCCGCAACTGATGTCGCCTTATATTTAGTCCATGACGTGACGTCTTGGAATTCTCTCTTATCTTCAGTTCAGACTCTTGAGCCGTTGACGCGCAGCTTGGCACTGGCACTTGGGTCCCTAATACTCCATTGCAGTGGTTACAAACCACAGGCAGGCGAGATTAGCATCAGCGCCAGCAAGTAACGTAGTGTCCTGTGGTACGACAGACAGCGTGATGCACTTCACTCCGTGTTATTAAAAATGTTGTCTCAAGTACCGCCGAACGTTAGACCTAATATGTCGACACGAACTTCGAGTTGTCTCGAGCTCTTGAGCAGTGGTACGTTCAAAAAGCCTGTTCGCACTATCACAGAGGTCACTTACATCAGCAAACTCCCTATGAAATTATGCTGGATTGTGTCGTTAAATTGTGATCGCGCTGTGATCGTCATCATGCAGGCAGTCACATTCGCGACATGTGAAATTACTCTAATCTCATGCTATCACCGTTGAAAAGTCTTTGGAGGCCGGACTCTACAACATTAGAGCACTGCCACGTCAAGAGCCGACTGAAAGTACGGACAATGAGATATATCTTAATATTTCGCCCACGTATCCACAATCTCACTCAGCGAACCAATATGAAGCAACGAATGAATGCATATGATACGAGATAGCTAATAACTAAAGTCGAAATAGTCCCACTTAAATTCTATAACATCAAAGTTGTTCAATTTTGGCGAGGCGAGAAAGAGCACCTATGGCCATATCCCCTTCACTGGGCGATCTGCGTCGAAATCAGTCCTGACATTGGAAACACCTATCAGCTTGTAGGTAACCAAACAAACTACCCCATCGATATCAGACTCAACCTGCGTCTCCAAAACTCGGACGACTGGCGTGGAAGTTATTCCGTAGGAAGGGTGAGCTCGACGGAGCTCGACGAAATGGAGACAACCCTCCGAAGAGTTGACATCATACACGATCTTCTCTGCTGGAACAGCCAAGATTGGGTAGACGACACTCTCAGATATCTCAAGTGCTGGGGTTTTTTCTGACATCATCGAAGAACCGGAATTGGCGAATCTACAAGATAGAATGTGTTGGCTGCTGGAGTCTTGGCCCGGGATTCAGAACGCGGTGGAATTTGTCGGTGACTCGATCGGAAGATCTGGCGTGCGTCCTATCGAACCAACGTTGTGCGGAAATGCACCGATACTTCTGGAAGTCGCAAGTCGAGTTGGAACGGATTCAACGGTTGTGGCGTCCGACTCCGCCAGCTGAAAGACGTTGAAAGAATTTGGGGTAGAGACAATTTCGTACTGTGCATTTGTAATTTTGTATCATTTATCATCCCCAGTGAAAACTGGACATGGCCAGAACCGTTGAGATAGCGTAGAATATTGTTTAGACATATTATTTATCCTGTAATATGGTATAATCTTCAACGACGTCATCGTCTGTGCGTCACATCAACATCGCATTGTAAAAGCATTGCGTCACATCGTAAAGGCATTGCATTGCATCACAAAAACGTTACATTGCTTACTTGTAGCGCATTGCTTTCACTCGACAACTCGATCGCACGCACACCATTTACATTCACGCGCACACCATTTACATTCACGCGCACACATTACCTCGTCACCCAAAGTACATCCCATTGTAATATCGCCGGTTCTACCCATCTTGCTTCGTAACTCTATTTGGTGTAACCGGGGGGCAAAAGGCATAAATAGGAGGAACTGGCAGAGCGAAGGGGTGAAAATTGGTATGTTTGATTCAGGATCTTATCTGAGTCGAGGTTCTCATCATTTGGTGCAGCGCAGCGTATCCTCAGCTACCCGAGGCTCCCTCTCTACTATCTACCAAACTGATCACTTGCCGATAAAATTGTAAGTTTCATTCTCATAGTATCTTCTAGCTTATAATATAGTGTATCAGCCTACCTATGCCAGTGGACTACACTTGTGTCTGCAAGAGACACAACGGTGGTCGTCCCCATTCTGTCTCTCGTGCTGCGTGGTACAAACACTTGCAAGCAGCTGAAACCAAGGAAGACAGGGCCGCCATTCGTGCTGGGAATCTCTCCCTCGACTTACATGCACAGATTCAGGCTCACGCTCATGACCTTGGCAAATCTTCTTCAAGCTCTGGCCCTTCTCGAAATGCCGGAATCAACACATCAAGTGGCCAGTCAAAAAGACCCAGTGACTCTGAGGTAGCCCAAGGGAGTTGGAAGCGCATACGAGAAGGCCACCAGGATGTCCTATCATCTCCAGGTGAAGGGCATCGCAGCCGAGTTGACGAAGAAGACCTCACCATCAGAGACGACAACTTTGAAGAGCAAGGGGAGGGATATGATAATTCTGATGGACAGGGTGATGGGCAAGATCGCGACTTTGATAGGCAGGGCGATGGGCAAGATCACGACTTCGATGGGCAGGGCGATGGAAGATTTCATGTTCAGGGACTTAGAAACGAAGATTTCGGTGCACAAGGAGAGAACAACCTACCGGACCCGCCTGACCGCCAACCTAACATTCAGAGAGAACGACCAGTCATAGATATCGAGGAACTTGCACAACGAGCGGTTCTTGAAAAGATCAAAACAACTATGGAGTTCATTCTAGCACTGCGGTCTGCATCATTAGATGACCCTGTTGCGAAACTTGATGAAGAGGCCAGAAGTAATTTGCGGAACCCCCCTCGCGAACCTCCAGACATCATCAATCCCATCATTCGCCATTCAATTTCAACTTATTATGCTCTCGAACACTCGGCACAGACTGCTTATGAACGGATTCGTGCTTCGACAGCGCGCACATACCCTGATGTTGATGAGATGCCCAGTTTCTATCGGATTGAACGCATGATCACCGAGTACACTGGCGTTGAATCTATAACTCATGACATGTGCCCAGACACATGTATCGCTTTCACTGGTCCATTTGCCGACCTCGACCACTGCCCTATCTGCAACAAACACCGATATGATCAGATCAAACTGCAGGCCAGTAGGGGTCATAACAAAGTTGCTCGGAAATTCCACACTATTCCCCTCGGACCGCAACTTCAGGCCCTTTACCGTGATCGCGAGGGTGCAAAACGTATGCGATATCGCGCTGAACGTACCGAGGAACTGTTTGATGAACTTCGCACATCAGGGGGGTCCATTGAGACATATGATGACTTCGTCATGGGAAGTGATTATCTCAATGATGTTCTCGAAGGCAAGATCGGCGAGAATGACATTGTCTTGATGATTTCGATGGATGGTGCCCAACTCTACCAGAGCAAGGTATCGGATTGCTGGCTGTATGTCTGGGTTATTATGGATCACGCTCCTGATGTTCGATACAAAAAAACACATGTCCTTCCTGGTGGATTTATCCCTGGCCCCAACAAGCCGAAAAATATTGATTCGTTCCTCTTTCCTGGTCTCCATCACCTTGCCGCACTTCAGAACGAAGGCCTCTCCGTTTACGATGCCTGGCGTGACATCATATTCTTATCACACCCTTACCTGTTTCTCGCCACCGCTGATGGTCCCGGTCTTGTATACTTTGATGGCATGGTTGGTCACTGTGGCAAGAACGGGTGCCGTCTGTATTGCGGTGTGATCGGGCGTCGAAAGCAGCGAGGGACTCATTATTACCCTGTCCTTCTTTGTCCGAACAACTTTCATGTTGCAGGATGTGATCATCCTGATGTTGACGTGTTCAACCTCCCTCTCGCTGCATCACACGACTATGCTGCAAACCTCCTCCATCTCGTATCGTCGCCTAACCAACGTCAGTACGACAAGCGAAAGACAGAGACTGGCATCACAAAACCCAGCATTCTCCTTGGTCTTAATCCGTCTCATATGCTACAGGTACCAGTTTGCTTCTCGACCGATATCATGCATCTCACTGGGCTGTTAAGTGACTTACTACTTTCACTCTGGCGCGGAACGATGGACTGCGCAGCTTCTGACGACGTTGATTTGTGGGAGTGGAGAGTTATGCATGGAGATGTATGGGAGGCTCATGGCGAGGCTGTTGCAGATGCTGGACGATATCTGCCAGGGTCGTTTGACCGGAAACCACGCAACATCGCAGAGAAAATCAACACAGGTTACAAGACCTGGGAGTTTCAACTGTATCTGTTTGGCCTTGCTCCCGCACTTACATATGGTCTTCTGCCGGAACCATACTGGATTAATTTTTGCAGGCTTGTTGCAGGCTTTCAGGTCATATGCCAACATCGTATCGCTTGCTCCGATTTGCAACGAGCCCAGGTCATACTCGGTGAATGGGAGCTCGAGTTCGAGGAGCTATACTATCAGCGCCGTCAAGATCGGATACATTTCATTCGTCCTTGTGTCCATCAAGTCAACCATCTGGTGACCGAGGCCATTCAGAAGGGACCACCGGTCTGCTATGCCCAGTGGACACTGGAGCGGACAATCGGAAACCTGGGCCAGGAGATCAGACAACCTTCCGAACCTTACGCAAACCTTTCTAGAGAGGGAGTCCGTCGCTCGCAAGTCAATGCCCTCAAGGCGATGCTTCCAGAGCTTGACGACCCCCCCAAAGGACTCCCAACTGGCGCAGTCGACCTTGGGGATGGCTATGCTTTACTCTGCAAGCGAGACCACCGGTCAGCTTACCCACAAGGTGCCGAAAGGCACGCTATCACACTCTTCCTCAATGAACCTGCTCCCGCGATTTTCAAATGGGCTCGTCTTAAGCTGCCAAATGGACAGATTGCACGTTCACACTGGCGAGAGTCACTGAAATCCACGCATGCCACTAAGGCTCTACGGGTGTCTCGCAATATCAAGGTATTTTTCTCGCTACTGATTTTAAACATGTTCAAGGCCCTAATGCTACATGTTTAGTTTTCTCTTGATGGTGCGATACGATTTGGAGAAGTCCGCTATTTCACGCAGCTTGCTACAGAGACTGTTGGCGACGACAATGGCGAAACAGAATGGTCATTTGTCAATGTTGCGGTCGTCTCACTGTTTTCCCTCCCAGATAACGAACTTCTCGAGCTCTCGTCTCATGTTGTTGCATCCTGCGCTTATCATGGAGATGGTGAGATATGTGTCATTGATGTCAAGAGTATTACCGATGTGGTTGCAATGGTTCCCCACCATCTGAGATTACCTTCTGGAGTTGTCGAGGATCGTTTCTTTATGGTGGAAAAGCCTGGTCTTGATGTGGCATCGTTTGGTATTTTGCCAGTGAATGATCCAGTAGAAGGTGAAGACAGTGATAATGACTCGGACAATGGGCAATAGTTGTTGAACATATTTGTATTAGCGCATGACACCAGCAATTACAGTACAGTACACGGTTCAGAATGCGAGCAAGGTCCAGCAAGACATAAAAAGTGCAATAAGACAGGTGCGAACAATGCAATGAGACAAACGCGAAAAATACACTGGTAATGAGACAGTTACAAGAACTGCATTGAGACAGTTATAAGGACTGCGATGAGATGGGTGCGAGAACTGCAAAGAGACGTTTATGAGAGCTGCAATGAGACAGGTACAATAACTGCAAAGAGAGTATAAAGAGAAACATGCTCTACAATGTGCTGGGTTCTTCGGCGGCAACAGCACCAGGCAATGCTCTGAACATCTCAAAGTTGGAGATTTCTTCGTTGTTCTTGATGTCTCTGAGAGTGCGGTGGCGGTTAGGTGGCCAAGGCGCGTCCAAGTCATCACAGAACCTGCGTCGTCTCAAGGGCACGTTGACAGGAGCTTTTGGGATTCCTACTAATCGTACAGGCTTTGCTTGGGCTGGGTTACTTCGGTAAATTATTTCCCCGTCAGTTTGACAATCGAGGAAATAAAAGTGAACCGTACCTAGAACATGCAGATGTTATTTTGAGGGCTGCAAGACCTTCCGCAATCTTGTTCACACCAAGGTTTGAGTTGCTGTAAGTATGTTAGGAGGATGATAGGATGAGAACATTAATTTTTACGTCTTGAGTTTCTTATTCTTGCGATCGGAGTAGGTCCTCTTTCGTCCTTTTGAATTGCCAGGAAGTAACAGCTCGGCCTCGCTATCCGTCGAGTCTTCAACATGAACAAGTTTGACAGCATCCTTGAGCCAAATGATGAGTTTCTATCAGATAATTGTTAGCATATAATCAAGTGTAACTAGATTTTCAGTTTACTCACGACGGGTCCTGGATTTTGAGGCGTGAAATTTATTTCATAGGTCGGCCACCCAGCAAGGAGGTTCTCGACATCCATGACGACAATGTTGTCCTGGAGAAGTACATTGTCTGTGCAGCTGATAATGTTGGATGAAGCCATTGAAGATGTAGATGTACCGGAGGACTGAAGAAAAAGACTTAGAAGAATTTCGGTGGCTTGTTGTTGACTAAGCTCAAAGTCATTATATGCGCTTTGATTCTGACGTCAAATATCCTCAACCCTATGTGTCTCTTTCATTATAACCATTATGACATTCTATACCCCCCATGTTCCTCAATATCGCTTTTCTGATGATGCCAGTCCAACATCGCACACACCACCTCCATTGCATTTGGGTCCCACTCGGCTTGCATCATTGCATGGCCTTGAATATTCTCCTGGATTATTGGATTCAAATGACAGCTTAGAGCATCAGGACGACTCTTCTCTTTTTCAGGTGTGTCACTTTGAATATTACAGGGCAAATGTTCAACTTGGCTGCACTGATTCACAATATTAGGGTGGATATATGCAACGCGGGAAACACTCGCATTGTCGCATTACAGAATCGTGTCAATCAACTTCAACTTGAGCTCGTTCAAGCCAAAACTGCATTTTCAACGCTAGAGTGGGTTATTTTTCTGGATTCATGCTGCTTAATTAACTTTCTGCTTTGACAGGGCAGCCTTTCAGGAACTCACTCGTAATGTCCAGCTCGTAAATGCTGATCCTATGAATTTCACCAGCACTAGCATATCTCCGACGGCACCTCCCACAAAACAGCTCCCCCCCGATCGATAAGAACGACTATCCCGATGTGCTATTCTGGACACGTGCGGACTGGGATAAATGGCAGAACGACATCACAAGGGCTCAAACAGAAGGGAAAGCGCGGACCTGCAGCTTTCCTAGAAGACGAGAATGGTGAGCCAATTACAGAAGAATCACTTGACACCATCCGCAAAACTATTCGTGGCCTCTGGTTTGAGTTCGCCGTCAAAGGACTTCTTGCAAACCTCATGGAGCAAAACGATACACTCGACTAGAACGCTGTTCCACAGCATCATGGAAGAGAAGCACCCTCTTTTTAGATTTGCAATGGACGGCTGGAAGTTGGACTTATTGTGCAGCACAGCCTATCCTTCGTGGCGCAAGAACCATCTTGACGCCGATGGTAATCTCTTGAAGCAGTCAAAGAAAGTCAAAGAAGAAGACAACGACATCAACTACCGTCGCGGTACAAAGCGAACTTGCAGCCCTAATTTTGAGGGCGGCAGTGCTTTGAAGCGCGTGAAAGGTATTTTATCATTTTATCTTTGGCGCATATACTCATGTTTACTAAGTAGCTGAGTCTGTGAACCTTTTGACCACAGTCAAAGGCACATCCGCTCTCATTGTCAAAGGTATTGTATTCTTTTATCTGCAAGCATATACTCATGTGTATTTTCAGGCAAATCTGTTAGCCCTCTCACTGTTGAATCCGAAGGTATGGTCATATGTTTTTCGCAAGCGCATACTCATGTGTATTTTTAGGCGAATCTGTTTGCCCACTCGTTCTTGAGTCCCACTCAGACAGCACTGTCGAACCCGAGCCAACACTCGAAGACAACACCACCAGCGCTGCTAGTAGCGTTGCGAGTCTGGCACCTGTAGTGTCTCCAATACCACCCCCCGATGCGAGTCTGGCACCTGTAGTGTCTCCGATACCACACCCCGATGCGAGTCTGCCATCTGTAGTGACTCCAATACCACCCCCGTCACCCACAGCCGAGAAAGAAAACCAACCACCGACTCATGGCTGCATTGTTTTGACGAATCCCCTGTAAGTACTATCTACTCCATTTGCACGGTATTACTAACCACAACCCATCTGTAGTATGGGTTTGACCCGTCGGCCATTGGTGAAATCAGCTGTACCGACAAGCGCGACTGTACCGACAAGTGCGACTGTACTGACAAGTGCGACTGTACCGACAAGCGCGACTGTACCGACAAGTGCCACTGTGCTGGATACCGCCAAGACCATTTTAAGTTTGAAGCTGGGACTGCCGTCCACTTCAAAGACCACGGTCCCACAAACATTCCTCTCGCGCCTGGTAACCCTGCTGCACTCCCTCAGGTGAACGATGCTCCTGCCACTGGGACTACTTCATCTTCGAAGAAGCCTGCAAAAATGCGGCCAGGTCCAACGAAGAAAGGGCGGTAAGCATGTGCTTTCTCATTGAACAACGGATTGGTGCTTATCTAAATTGCATAGGAACCTTTGTGCCTTGCGCTGGCTTAAACAGGTTACACCTGGTTCCACCAACGAATTCAATGCCTATTATTCTACATTGAATGAGGCGCAGATCCAGGTATTATGACACTGATTCACTACTATATCCTTTCATGGATTCTACTAACACTTTTGTCCGCAGTCTTATGATAGGGAGGCTGGAGAACTGGTAAGTACAACTTTGCCACTCCCATTATCGTGTTGCTGAGACTTGGTAGGAAAAGGCAGGGCGCTGGACGAAGAACAGTGATGTCGTCGACGGTCTCATGTATTAGCTTGCCTGGTATCGCCTGCTGGTTGCCTCCCGATTGCTTGTGTTTGCTTGTCTCCCTCGCCTGTCCACATCATTCCTGTTCTTTCGCTGTCGCCTGCTGGTTGCCTCCCGATTGCTTGTGCTTGCTCATCTCCCTCGCCTGCCCACATCATTCCTGTTCTTTCGCTGTCGCCTGCTGGTTGCCTCCCGATTGCTTGTGCTTGCTCCGGTTCCGCATTATCATTATTGTCCTATATGGCCCTATCGTGTGTTTTATGATCGTGGACTGAAGCATTTGTACTAGTAGATTATAGCACAATTGACTCGAATACAATCGATTTTTGTCGTACCACGCGAACTGAACCAAAATGTGGTGAAATATGCTATGGATATTCTTAACATACCCTACAACATTCGAGAAGATATCAACAGACGCGAAATATTCTATTAGTCTCCACAGCGAGTCTCCTGTGGTGAAATAATTGTGCTTCTAAATTCGTCATATTCCACTCGATCCTCAACGGTTTTGGCCATGTCCAGTTTCACTGGGTATCATCAGTGATTCAGCGTCACGTCCCCAATATTAAGTGTGGAAGTCACTAGCGAAACCTTTGAGTCATCAACGTTTCAACGTCACCAGGTTGCATGGAGCTGAAATCGTACTGTGTATTGTACACGTGCTGTCCAGATGCCTTGCCCGTGAAGTCGAGGAGGTACATCCCGTTCACACGAACGATACCGATCACCTGCCACCGCCTGGTTCAAGTTTGCGAGATCGCTTGCAAGTATTTTGGCTTCCCTGCCACAATAGTCGTGGTTGGTGATGTACACAAAAGGAAAAAGTTGTTTGGCCTAGGAGAATGACCCAAACACTCGGTGACTGCCAATCTGGGTATACATACTTTTGTATTTGGTCCAAAATATACACGCAAAAACGGCAACCAGCCTCGAGTAATTATTCACTCCTCACTGTTGTACCACCTCCCACACCTTCCCCTTGCCCTTCTCACCATCTACCTTTTCATCACCCATACTTTCGCATCCCAACAGCAATCCGCATCCCCGCCCAACATGCATCCACAAGCCCTGCACCATTCGCCATAACCCATGACAAGACTCGCAGCATAGTAAAAATTCGCGTTCCCACGGCCCTCGCTCACCCGAGCACATGTTGAAGTGGGAGGAGGAGCGCAGCATGTAGGTGGAGCAGTGTGGTAATAATGGGGTGTCGGAGGTCTGGAAGAGTGTGAGTGAAGTGAGTGCGAGATTGGATAGGGTTGTCGGAGGGAAGGGGACTTACAACCATGTACTTCAGGAAAGATGGATATCAATGCTGAGAAACAAGCCTGGATCTGCGAGAGTTAAGTACGCGTTTGAACGTCCCCAGGACGCCTACGAGGAGGAACGCGGCATAGAGGGGATCGTGTCTACAGGTGGGGCATGTCAGACCATAAAAACTAGCATATATTATCAGGAAATCCCTTACTCGAAATTTTAATGCAGATAGGTAATATGTATAACAAGG